CTCTCACAACTGGTGCCATCTGTTACAAACCAACTGCAATTTTGTGGATTGCATCTACTGTGTTAGAACAAAATACTGTCGTTGCTTTAAATACTCACAATAAAATATATCTGTGAAACAGATGCCAACAAAATGGAACTAGTTAAGTTTTATGCTAGAGAGGCATATGATGATGAGTTTACTGGCAGCTGGTTTGGCAATGAAATCCTATATATCAGAATGCATATTGGTAAGGGTTAGTAATATATGGTGGGACTGGGAAGATAGCAAGATTTATGGTTTATGAATGGATGAATCAACATTGGAACTGGTGCCTTTGAAGTGAGTTAAATTGTTGCAGCTTGACATTAGAGTACAGGGTCAGTCCAAAATGGCATCTATCTGGCTTCACAGATATACACAAAGAAAGGCAATTTTCAGCCTTCAAATCTCAACACTGCCAATTGTATAGAATCTAGTGTGGACTGAAAATAAGGTTAGAGAATGAAACTCTTACTTGAGATAAGATTCAAACAATCCCTGACATGCTTCACATGTAATTTTGGCATTATGGGAACTGCCACCAGATGCGAAATTCTCCACAGTGTGTGTGCGTGCGTGCGCAAGCGTGCGTCTATGAGCAAGAAAGAGAGAGAGAGCAAGAGAACTATGTGATGGGACCAATTGTTCAGGGTCTTGCTCCATGAGCTGTCCAGAGGTGCTGTGGCCCAATTGGGCGGCATACAAATGTTTTAAAATAATACCAACAAAATCAACTAACTCACATTATTATGCCATTCATGTATAGCCTCTAATTTACTGGTATTTCAAAAAGGCTATATGGCTATGACACCACTTGGACTGCATCTGAAGAGGCCAGCATCAGTGGAAAATACAGCATACATTATAGCTGGCCATATGGTTAGCTGGCTGTTCTCATTTCATGGCTGGATGATGTTTCACTTTGTAAAGTTGCAGTGTGTGAAAAGAAACCTTATCACACACTGAGAATGGATTTGCATGCGCGATAGAGTGTTTGAACAGCTGCAGTGCACAGCAGATGTGTGTCCTGCCTGGTGGGACTGCAGAGGTCACTCTCCTCCCTTTAAAATCCATGGGGTGGCCAATTTGATTGTGTGTGGCCACTTTATTATCCACTCAGTGATCCTGAGGCCAAAAAAAATCCACTGTTGTACTATAAGACTAGTAATGGGATTCTTTCTACAATTATAAGCAGTGCTTTTTTTTGTACACAACACTTTTTATTTATTTATCAATTTATATCCTGCCTTTTTCCTACAAAGGGCTCAAGGCAGGTTGCATCATTCTCCTCCTCCATCTTATCCCCACAACAACAACCCTGTGAGGTAGGTTGGGCTGAGAGTCTGTGACTGGCCAAAGTCACCCAGTTGGCTCCATGGCCGAGCGGGGACTAGAACCCAGATTGTCTGAGTCCCAGTCCCATGCTCTTAACCACTACATCACACTGGCTCTCCACACCACACTAGCTCTCCACTTTGTGGCAGGTGCCAACTTGTATTTATAACATCTAGCGAAAACTTCTTAAAAACAAACTCACACAACCAAAAAACATAAAATGTAAACTTTGCAAAATTGCAGTCTCATGTAAGCTTCCTAATCAGAGGGTGAAATTATGGGGGACTTCAGGTGTCATTACTGATCTTAGCACACACACATGCACCCCAAGTACGTACTCCTAAACACATGCAAAACAGCCAATGCTTTTAGTCCCTCAGAATCTGTTTGTCAGTTCTGCCCGTTAAAGGATTTGCATTTCCACAATCCACCTTAAAAGTATTTTGCAATCAACTTGAGGACTTCAGACCATCATTCTGGGTTCTCGTTTAACTGACACTTGTTGCCCATTGCAGCAAAAGCTGAGAATCTTCGATTCCATGCTGGCCTGACATTTTGCACTTGAAAAAGACTTTTTTAAAAGTGCCCTTTCATTCCATTTATATTGCCATAGATTGCCTACAATTAGCAAGTCATTGTGAGTCCCAAATTGTGCATATGAGGGATTCCAAACATGTGGGATCACATAATTTATTGTTGGACATCAAGTCAATAGGTAATGAAGGGGGAAGCTTAATCCAGCCTAAAAATCAATTCCTGGCTCCTCTGCGGAAGCGAGCTTGCCTGTGTTTTATTCAGATAAATTGTCTCTAAGGTGAGCAAAGGAAAAAAGCTCATAATTCTGAATGTGCTAGCAAAGGCATATTGGGATGAGATGGCAAACAGATCAGAAAAGATTACAGCTGCAGCAATCTCTAGCTCATGGTGTCATTTAAAGGGATGTGAGAGTTATCAGACAGTATATATTAAATATACAACCTCATGGTCTGAGACAACAAACTCTTCTAGCTCGTATCCCAAATTAATCTCAGAGGTGTCTAACAATACTTTCTGTATCCCAGCCTCTCAGCAGGTTTTTAAAAAGTTTTATATCAGTTGCAAAACTCTGCATTAATCACTATAATGAACAGTTCAAGGTGCGTCCAGACGGAAAGTTATTGGCACTATGTTTCAAGACTACTGGGCAGCAAACCCACCTTTTTCCTTATCTGATTTTCTGCAGTAATAATTAAAGATAAAAGTGCTGGGAAAACATGGGAGGGTTATATGATATCCACTGGATTCTCCACAAAAACCTGGAAATGAAGCAGGGCAAAGCCCTACAGAACCACCCAGGGACCTTGCTTGTTGAGTTGGTCCCTGTCAAATGGAAACTACAGCACACAGGTTATGACTTTTATTGGATTAAGTAATGTCTAAAATACTTGAAGTCAATTTTAAAAATAGTAGAAACGATTAAACATATCTAAGCTTTGGAAGACCCCTCCCCTCTTGTTCCTAATTACAAAGGGCCAGGAAAAGCAAAGGTGGCGTTAGCTGCACATGTTTTGAAGGACCCAGAAGACTTTCCTCCTTAAAAGTTTTATTTTTCCTTTGTGTCCTGCATCAGAAAATTCCTGGAACTTGGCATGTTGCATAAAATTTTATGGTTCACACCTATTTATTCCCCTACAGCAACTGGACTGATTCATGTGAAGTAATGCGTAAAATGGATAAAAGTAGTGAAATATTGTTAAAGCCAAGTTGTCTAAATTCAATAGTGTCTTGATTGGAGACTGAAAGCTTTGATATTTTATACTATAGTTATGGAGGATTCATGTGACCTGAGTTGTCTAAGATAGATCACATTTTGATGACTTGTTTCTGCAACTGTGCATGTGCAAAAGATTGATGCTGGAGACTATTTCGTGCAGCTAAAGGTAAACACACATACTCTCCTTCCATTTGCAGAGGTTCCTGCAGAGGTTCACTGATTCCTCTACATCCCCTAATGCCCTCTAAAATGCCACTCCGAAGAGTCGGAAAATCCTTTGGTTCTGGGAGCTTCTTCCAATAGAGAATTCCGTGTGCAGTCCTGGCTTTGAACGTTATGGAAAGTAACAAAAACGGAATGGATGAGGAATCTCTGGTCCAACCTGGAAGTTCAAAGGGGCAAAGCAGGACACAGTATTAGAGGCAAGGTGGGGTCTCAGCTTGCAGGGAGCTGAACAGGGTCATGCTATCGAGCACTTAGCCTAATATTTAAGCCTAACAACTCCAGAAGTTGTGCAAAGCAGTTCCTTGATCTCCAGGTTGGGAGAGGTCAACCATTCCTCATGTTCAACATGAAGTTGGACAAAGACAGTCGTTTCCTCTGCATCCTCTGATCCATTGACATTTAATTATCATTTTAGAAGAGTCAAATAATTAGCAAGATTTATAAGCAATGCAAGGAAATGTCATTCATGGCTCAGTCCTTACTGAGTCTCATGATCCCAAGAACACCCGTGCTTTTATTTATTTATTTAGTAAACTTCTATGCCACCCCATTTGCTGAAGCCTCGGAGCGGCTCACAGACATAAACTTTGTTAAAATAATATAAAGGCTTCGGTGAATGGGGCGGCATAAAAATGTCTTAATAAACAAACAAACAAACAAACAAACAGTATAAATTAAGTCGCCCTGGCCAGTCAAGAATTCCTTGACTGGAATGCCATTAATGGACTGTAATATGTAATTTAAATGCATGGTCGTGTAATGAATATTTGTTAATAAAAGTTATATTTCATTTTCTTTACATTCAAAATCAAGATGCAAGCACTACTGTAATGCCAGAGAAGTTGTTCTATTAATTAAACAATGGAGTAGGATGAGCCAGGATTTAAGTGCTGCAGTTTGCCATATAACTCACTAGATGGCAGTATTATGTACCTTTCCTCAAATCAAACAGTATACCAAGTATTTCCAGGATATTGCAGTCTGCCTCACCTTTCAAATGAAGATAGAAGAGATGCTACCAGAGCTGTGGTAATGGCTAGAATACATTCTGCTAACATTTTCAGTGATGCAGAAATCACTGCCATCTAGGAATTGGTGGCTATACTGAGAGGAGGTGAAAGTATGTTTTTGGGTGAGGGGAGTGCCTAGTAAATTTGTTTTCTCTCCGTTTCATTAGCATGTTGTCTAGTTTGACTGGCTACATGATGCTGTGATTGCATCCTGTGCATTATGTGTTCTTAGAGTTCACCGCCATGGATGATCCCAAAGAGTCACCTTCACCTCTAGTTGGTTTTGTCTGCCTTTAGTGAATCTACAGAATCAAATACTGTAAGCTAGCTTGCTACTACATGATATTCCTTTACATGGGATCACTAATATAACTAATGGAAGAAGAAACAACAGTGAAAAAGTGGCACCAAGGTAGCAAACAATTGCAGTGAATGTGCTTGAAAAAACACGAACATGTTCACAATTGTGAGATTTTCCAGGAAATGTTCCAGATTTCTGAAAACACTACTTTCAACTGCAAAAAAAAATCAAAGTGGGAGAACACTGAGAATACAGCAGACTCTACTATAAACCAACTGTAACCTTTATGATAAATACAGAAAAATAAACAGTGTATTCTAATATCTGTGCACAAAAGGACAAGAAAGATATCATGCACATTTTGTATGTCTTTATTGTAGCACCACTTGGAAATCCAATTCAATCAGTGAAATTCATCATAAAATTCGAAAAAAACTCTCTGCATGTAAAAGACTGCAATTTACTGATACAGTCTTTCATGAATCACATCTTTGTTGTTGCCAAAACTTACTTACAATTTATATTAACAAGCATCAATTCAATTTGTATTTTCTGTTAAGACCATGATTCTCTACTTCCAGTATTTATCCAGCATTACATGCACACGGACTAGAATTACATGGACATTTTATGAAAGGCAAAATGACCTTTCAATCAACTTCTCCTGCATTTATCCCATTTTTGTAAACTCCTGTACCATGAACAAGTATCTCAGCCTGGAAAGCTTCTGCCATTCTTTTCCTATCTATTATCTTCAATTATTATGGTTCTTCTAGGGTAGACATCCAAATCCACAAATATATAGCGATATTCATATTTTCCACTTTCAGGATTCTATGAAAAAACATAAGATGAATCAAATCTTCCTTCACACAATTATTTTAAGCATTCAATTATGACACATACAATTCAAAGAAGCTGATGTACCTCTTTCACTTCCAGATGTACAGTCCCTTGTTTTCCTTTTTCCAAGCCTTCAATGTAGAACTTTAGGCGCATGTATTTCAGTCCATCTTTTACATATTCAATATGGCTAAAGGAAAACAGCACAAGAGAAGGTTTTGCACGCTCTGAAAATTACACTTACAAAATAATAATAGTGATGATGCCAGCGCAATCGCAGGGCACAACCTTGACACATGCAGGCTTCGCTCAATCAATTACCATTTGAGAGACCAAGCCTATAGTGTTGTCAGCACCTAGATCAGCTTTCCTCAACCTAGTGGCCTCCAGATGTTTTGTACTGCAATTCCTACCATTCCATCCATTGCAATGCTAGTTAGGTTTAACTGGAGTTAAAATCCAAACCACCTGGAGCATCTACACTAAAGCCTCTTCTATTTAGCAGTGGGTTCTATTATGGCATTTATAGGAACACGTGTACAAATGCTGGAGCACATGCTAATGCATGTGCACAGGCTCCACTGGGCTGCAAAAATGATTTTATGCCACACAGAATGCAATTGCATGGGAAATAGGAAAGGGGGTTTGTGCAAAGAAAGGGACCCCTTTTAAAAAGTTGTTCTTTGTTTGTTTCATTTGCTATGTGTAAGATCAAATCAGCAGAGATTTGGGAAAAAAAACTGACAGCTTGTCCAGTCCTCTTACAAAAACGCATGGAAAGGGGATAGGGAGAGAAGAGGGTGGGTGGCTGTGATGCTGTTTGATGCTGTTATCCCATATTTCATGGGGTGCAGTCAGCAGCACAATAGCTCCATTCTCTTTCAGCAAATGCAATTCCCAAAAGCAAGTGTGGCCCACTCCCTCTGCTGACTTTCCTAAGAGTAAGTACTACTGACAGCCATGTGGTTGACTTCTGAGTAGACATGTAATTGTTTCTTACCAGAGAGGTGGAAGCAATGATTGCTTATTGGGTGGTACAGAAATTAAATTAAAAAATAGATAGATAAATTGAAAACATTCCACATAACTCTCTCATTATAAACCAGACCTTCCCAGCCCAATGCCGTCCATACACGCTCGTAATCCATGGATTCCTGCCCATTAGACTTTCTGGATGGAGCTGATGGCAGCTCAAGTCCAAAACATCTGCTGGGTACCAGGCTGGCGAAGACTGTTATAAATTATATAGCTTATAGTTTAACAACCTTCTTAAGGTGAAAGGTCATTAAGAAAAAAAGTCTAAGCATAAGGGAAAGAAGGGATAAAAGAGGTCTAGGTCTGGAATAAAGAAGCAATTGTGATTCCTTCCCTAGGGAAGAGTCAAGCACTGCACTACCACAAGTGAACCTGCACTAGTACAAAACAATGCTTGCACAATGTCAACAGCATTTGCTAGCATGTTGGGCTGCCAAATGCTAGCAAGTACTCCTGAAGTTGTTGCACTAGCAGAAACAAAAGCTTGCATGCCAATAGTGGGTAGCATATTACTGGATCCTTCCCACAGTTCTTAAGTATCTTAGTGAAAGACATATAAAAGTTCCTAACAATAACAGTGGAAGTTACTTAGGATATGCCATTACACTTGCTTTAGCCAGTGATGATTCACATATACACCATGTTAGAGAAGTACATTATCTTGTTTGTGCAGTAGGGGATGACGTGGAAGGGTCTCTCAATAGTTGTATGAGGACACTAATGGTTATTTTGCTCCAGGTATTTTGCACTTGTGTAAGAATCCAACCCTAGCTCCACTGCAACAGCATACAGTGTTGCTGTGTCATATTCACATATAAGTAGTCTGTTCAGAGGGAGGTGTAGCAGGGTCTTCTTCAGCATCCTTAGGATCCAGCATGAATGGACACAGGCAACAAATAATACTAAGCAAAGGACTAAAGAGTTTCTTGGCAGGCAGGTCTATTTGCAAAGGACAGAGATGGACTTCTAGCTTACATTCAGCATGCTGGCCCCAAGAAACTTTCTCCTTAGACTTTAGGAGACGGTGAGAGAAACAACTGTGACAAATTCCAGGTAAGAGACTGAAGAAAGAAACAAGGTCATAGATAATGTTAACAGCAGAAAATTGCTCCTTCAAGAGACATGCATTAATAGATACCTGACAAGTTGTCTTCTCCCACGACGAGTGGCTTCACCATACCCTTTGATGGGTTCACCAAAAACACCTATTACCTAAACAGTAAGGACAGGAGAGGATGCTTAGTGGTCCATCTTCTATCAAGACTAGTTGAGTAGCTTCCTAAATTTAATCAATAATGCTGTCGAGGATTCTCTAACAGCTTGCCTACAAGCTGTTGTTTTCTCTGAAATGAACAGCAGAAGGGAATGCTAGACACATTCTGGGCCACAGTCTCAGTTCATGCAGGGCAACAGCATGGTCTATTTGGCTAAGGAAGGAAATGGGTGCGCCTGTCTTCAGCTAACAAAAGCCCTCTGGGGGAATCCTTCATAGTCTTGAAGGAAGGGTTCCTCATTAAGGAAAACATTTTGAGAAGCCACTACATTATTTGTATCACCTGATCTTTACTATAGACCCTTTTGATCCAACTTTCAGATTGATTCATATTCATTGCCATGTGGTCAACCGCCCCATGGAATTTACTAAGGATACTGCAGTGGTCTCCTATCACACATGACAACAGAAGAATCTACTGGAGCTTGTCTATGCTGCCACTGTCCTCCCATCTCTAGTAAAATTTCCTATCTTATGGAATGTGCCAAACTATCAAGGAAAAGAATAATTAGGTATTTCAATTCATCCAACTGTGTTTACAGCTAACTGTGACCTGGCAACAGGACGTTCCTGGTATAACTGCATGTAACTGCAACAAAGACCAGCGAATTCCAATTTTAACCCACTTTGAGATGCTGTGAATCACACCTCTTTTCAAGACTATATGAATTACAGCAAGCAAGAAAAAGATGCAATGATTAAAAGGAGTCACAGAAAACAAAGTTTCCATTTTGAGACAAGAAAGGGAAGTTCTCAATGAGAAACTCTTTCACTTAAACATGAAACAGACCTCAGGGTGAGCTCTACATTTCTCTAAGGCATCTCCATAGATCTTACTGGGACTGGAGGAAGAGAACAGCTCCTTAAAAATCACATAGAATAAGCCACCTGAAGCAGGAAAATAGAATACAAATGAAGCAAGAATTTGTCTGCTGAACACTGAATCATATTCCATTTGTAAATTAGGGAAAAATATTCCTGTTTCAACTACCTGTGACACCAATTCCGACCACCACTATAATTAAGTAGGTGAAATCTCTTCCAGCTTCTTTTACTGAAAGAGGAAAAAAATGGAACAAAATAGCAATTACAGAATATCAGGCAATAAAGCTAACAATATCATTTTGTTTACACACACTGAGTGGCTCTTAATGGCTTCCTCTAAAACTGCTGAAGATGAAAAGCATAGCTACTTTTGTCACAATAGCAACATAAGGAAAGGGCATGATTTTGCCCTAGGATCTCTTAGAATTGGGCTAGAGGCATTTTAGTGCAGTTTTGTTTGCAAGATAGGCTTTAGCAGGGCAGGTAGCGCCACTTCTTTTTCACAGAGGTGGCAAGTTCTTTTGGGGTAGATTTTCACCAAATTCTGTTTTACCAAATTACCAACTTGTGGCTGCTTAGTCTTTGATATGGCTCGTGGCATTGGGCAGTATCCAGTGCTGTCACAGTATGAGCACTACTGACTCTGTGATCAACCAAGCCACTGAACAATCAAATGTAGTTACAGGCAAATACTGTTAACCAGAACAACACTGTGCAGATGGAAAGGTATCTTTTAAAATTTTCATGATGCCATCATTTGTTAGGAAGGCATCATGTCTGAAGGCAGCTTGCCACATAGCTCTACAGGGGTGAAGCAACCGTTTCCTCTTGGTTACCTGCTTTAACCATAGACATCACCTAAGCAACAACAAAATACAAACGGTATCCAGCAAGCAGTGAACATCACTGAGTAGCTCTCCACAACCTAGTGACGTCCGGATGTGTTGGGCTGCAATTACCCTCATTCCCAGGCAGCCTGGTCACTGGGCATTGGAAGAACCAGCTTGGAGGCACCTTGCTTGCAGGAGCAGTCCCCCGTCTGCATGGCCAACTGTGAGGGAGGATGGGAGCTAAGTCCAAAACTAATCTGGAGAACTCATTGGGAAGACCAGCCTAGAGAGGAGTGTCAGCCTAGATGTGAGATCCAGGTTCAGATTTTGCTACTGATGATCCCCCTTGGGTGCTGTTGGCCTAGTCATAAGTGCTAGGTCAGCTTCCCACAAGCTGCTGTCCCCCATATGCTTTTGGTTTCAGGTTCTATCAGTCACAGCCATCAAGGCCAAAAGTCAGGAATGGTGGAAGTTGTTCTCTAAGCATGTCTGAAGGGGATCGGGCTGGGCAAGGCTATGACAGCTTAAGATAACAGTGCACAGATACAACAGAAAGACATTTCCACATAGATTAGCGAAACACGGAACAAGGTCGTGCCCAGAAAGAGGCGGAACTGCCGTCGTTTAGGAGATGTCAGCTTTCCACTCCTACTAAGTGATGGTCACACCTTCCCACTCTTTACCTTTCTGAGCAGCCGACAGAGATGCACCTCCTTTGGGGCTTCTTTGCACGGACACCTGTGCACTGTTCTCCGGCTTCCCGGCTCTCAGGGCCCCCTGCGGAGTCCAGAGGTTTCGCTTTACGCTCTCAACCTCACGGACGGCTCCAGGACGCAGGGCATGCCCTTGTCCGAGCCCGAAGCGCGCCCAAGTCCTTAGCAGCGCTTTCCGGGGAAGTGAGAGCGAGCGCTGCACCGAGGATCCCAGCAGTTTGTCGCTGCAGTGGATTCCGCGCAGGAAAAAAGAGAGCATTATGAGGCGGTTCAGTGTTTCTCTGTACGAATCCACAGCTAGTCTCGGTTCGTCATATGCAACGCATCCGATGCATCGTTCCGCAGTAGTTCACTCACAGAATGAAGGATCCGTAGATCTAGATGCAAAAATCTTACTCGATCGTTTTCCTTTACTTGTTGGTGTACTTTTAACAAATCGAAGGGGACACTACCGCTTCGCTCAGCGGAGGTTTGCAATTGGCTCCGCCATGATGCTTGCAAACCTCTTTGGGAACTGTAGTTTCCAGAAAACATAATCCTCTCGCGTCCTTGCGGGAAAAGTACTACTTCTACCACAATGCAAAGCGCCCTACAGCGCAACGAAGCTCTAATTGTCCGTGCTTCAATCCCTTGCTTTCAGTTCACTTGCTAGGCAAGGCAGCTTCGAGTAAAGCTATCGTGCAATAGTAGAAATTCGATCGTTTCGATTTAAGAAAGGGTGATTCGTTTTGCGCGAGCATTATGTGAGTTATTTGCACTTCAAGGAGATCTTCTGAAAATAAGGGTGCAATGCTATGTACGTTTACACAGAAAAAAGTCCCACAACTTCCAGCATTGCCTAGCCAGCTTAGGACTTTTTTCTGTCTAAACATAAATAGGATTAAGGGATACCTTCACATAGGCAATGCTAGTAATAAGCCTACTATCTGTGCATATTGATATAGTTTCCCCTTTTTAGTTTCTTGCTTATTTACTTTATTGAAAATCTTTGTTACATTTCTCTTAAAGATTCTAGGCACACAAAAAATGAATACAAAGTTAATTTTTAATTATTCTTAAATAAGTAATATAACTTAGGAAAAACTGGTCCTTGAAATACTGACCATGGATGGTCCTGACTGCTGTGCTTAAATGTGTAGGGCCTCCAATTAAAAAAAAAAAAAAAAAAAGATCACCTTGATTAACAGCACCTGATGCAATTAAGAACAACTCACTGTATAACACCTTTTTGCCAATGGAATTGGATCTAAAACAGTATGACATATTGGTGTTTCTCTTCCCCACCACCCCACCAGGTGATTAACACAGGTATTGGAAAAACGCTTTTGGTTTAGTCCAACTCTCATGGGCTGCTTCAAACCTGAATTTGCTAAGTGGGCTCCACACACTTTCTAAAGAAACTAAAGGTTCCATCATTCTACTGATCTTAAAGCTGTGACTGGGCTATGCTATTTGGTGTATGTGGGGGACTGAGAAGTCTGAATCTTTTGCCATTCAAAATGCATCTATAAAGAGAATTAGATGTCAGGGAAAGGATTTAAACCTAGCCAGTTCATTTGTATGGAGGTTTTCTCCATCGAGGTGCATTCAAGCACATGAGATTCCACCAGCAATGGTCTATCTCCTTGTGGGTTCTAAGTGGGCAGGACATAAGATCTATGATATATAATTACATACAAATAAATGCATTTGATGTATATTGCATTGATACATCTATAATTCTATTAATAATAGTATCAAAATAGGGTTCAATGCAGCAGAACAGTTTACAAGCCAAAGGTGTAACTGAATCAAAATTTATGTTTGTTAGCCCCAGAAGAAAAACAGAAGGCCTCCCTAATTTCTTTGACAATGAGTTCAAATAAGATGTTTAATAACTTTGGCAGGAAATAAGCAAGCCCGTGTGCAACTTGATCCTACACCTAATCAGACACTCATACACGGTTTGACAGCAAAAGAGTTCAGTTGCGTTGCAATTCTCAGCATGGGATTGAGGCCTAGCTTGGAAAAATGCTGTATTCAAATCAGTGAGTTTTGTTATTGTTTCGAACGTCTATTATCTCCTTCCAGAATTATGATAGCAAGGTGCCCTGCAATAGTAACAATCTAAAATTGCAAAACATTGGCCGTTTGTTGCTGCACAAACACAGTAAATCTTCATCGAAAAGCGTTACAGATCAGCAGTGCTCATCAATACAGGTCTACGTATTGGATTCAGTAGAGCTTGCTTCCAGATAAGTTTTGTACCGCAATCCTACAAACACTTTCCTGGGAATAAGTGCACCGAGCTCATCGGACCCTTTCTTTTGACTGTTCATGTTTGCAAGGCTGAAACCTTATGCTTGTTTCCTTGGATGTAAATACACGCCTTCTTGGAAGTAAGCCCCTACAGTGTGAAGTGCGCCGGTGCGGGGAGATCACCAGCCCAAGATCGCTCTTTTAAGCTTGAGGAAGAGCCCTTAAAGCGATTTAGCCCTAAGCAAACACGTAGAGGATGGCGTGGTGGCGCGACCACGTCGCCGCGCCTTGATGCCCGCAACCCCTTAGCGAGACAAAGACATTCACAAACAGGAACCCCGCCTGCTCTTCAGGTCGCCGCGCGGGCATTCGCTTACAGGCAGATTTGGCCCCTCTGGACCGCCCCTCGAGGCGCGGGGAGAAAAATAATCCACAGGTACCGGCGGAAAGATTCAGTGCGGGACTACTTTTGTTTCTCTCTGCACGCTCAGCTCAAGGCTCCGACTCGACGGCCGCGAGGTCCAGAGGAAGAGGCTGTCGCTATGGCGACGGGACGCGGCTGGATTCGGAGGCTGCACAGTTTAGGGGTCCTGCGCACCCCGCATACTGCAGATGCTTCTAGGCTCGGTCCGCAGCCGTCTCCAGTCATTCCTCTCGTCGGAGAGAGCCCGGAGGAATTTGGCCCTCCCGCTCGGGATAGGTAACAAACGCGCGCTGTTCTAGGGGAATCGTGGCGTGCCCTCATGTCTTCCGCTGAGCTACAGCGGATTCTGTTCTGTGCACCGAGGTGGCCCCGATGCTGAAGGTACAGGGGCAGACAGAAAGTAAATTGCCCTGAGTTGTGGACGTCAGCTTGCAGCATTTGTGACTATGGGCTATTTCTTTTAAGACATATAAATGAAACACAAACCCTTTGGAAAACATTGCAGTTGAATACATGAAAACATTGTGTTAGTTAAAAGCGAATTATGCTACCCTTAGAACTACACCTGATTCAGGTAGGACCCAGATTAAGAACGAGAACTTGTACATAAGTTGGATCTCATGAGTGAGCCAAATGTTTGTTGTAGTATATGTATATGTTTTACCTTTCTATGCATATACAACTTAAACACTTCCATATTCAGTAAAGTGTCTTAAACACAGTACAGCATTGTATTAATGATAATACAGTAATAATAAAATAACTATAGATATTGAATAGAGATGGCTAATATGTATGTCCTCATTTACAATGTATGGCTGTGAAAGTTGGATCATAAGGAAGGCTGAGCACCAAAAAATTGAGGCCTTTGAATTGTGGTGCTGGAGGAGACTCCTGTGAGTCCCTTGGACCACAAGGCGATCGAACCAGTCAGTCCTAGAAGAGATCAACCCTGACTGCTCTTTAGAAGGGCAGATACTCAAGCTCAAATACTTTGGCCACCTAATGAGAAGGAAGGACTCACTGGAGAAGAGCCTAATGCTGGGAATAATTGATTGCAAAAGAAGAAGGGGATGGCAGAGGATGAGGTGGCTAGATGGAGTCACTGAAGCAGTTGGCATGAGCTTAAGTGGACTCTGAGGAATGGTGAAGGACAGGAAAGCCTGGAGGAGTGTTGTCCATGGGGTCGCAATGGGTTGGATGCAACTTCGCAACTAGCAAGCAAGCAAATATTTACAATATATATGCCTGTAAATATAGCTATACAGTATTGTAATAAACCAATAAAAGAAACACTATTTAAAACAGTTTAGAACATTCTTGATGTAACATTGATGTAACATTAACTGATGCTTATGGAGTTGGACCTGGTGCTGGAGAGTCAAGATTTCATTGGGCTGCTGGAGAGTGGGGTGGGGATTATTACTGGAGTCTAGGTTCTGGACTCCATGGAAAGTTGTCAATATTATATCTCTAGGAAACTATGCAGCCACTGGTGATGCTTTTCCATTCATGTTGCATAGTTCCCTAGAGATAGCCACAGCTTTTAGTTAGTGATATTCATATAGGGTTTATGGCAGTCTACATGTTCATAAGTATAGGTTGTTTGTAACCCAAATGTTCATAACCTGGTACTACCTGTATATGATGTGCCATCAAGTCATCTCCAACTTATGGTGACCCTATACATGAAAGCTCTCCAAAATGTCCTGTCAGTGGCAGCTCTGTTTAGCTCTTGCATCTGATATGTATCCACATAATATTATGACATCTGTATCTTGGAAAAGCAACTTGCCCCATACCCTTATGATAAGCAATACTTTTCTCAGGGCAAGATCCATAATCTTTTTTGATCTTCTTCTATTGCTATTAATGCCAAAAACCATGTACAACCAGTATCTGAAGCCTTGTCCATATATCATTCTGTTTGGAAGGCTGCTGTTAAAGGCACAGTAGGAAAATTATTAAAATAGGAACAATTTTATTTTATCCAAATAAAGTAATACTGTCAAACTGATGAAAACATTTAGACAAATTATACTTATGCAAAACTTTGGATCTCATAACAGTTTTCTCCATAGTTATTTTGAGTTCACAATATAATGGTTTCTTTTCTAGTGATATATCAGAAGGCTCAGCTATTATAGGTATGCAACTATCTGAAATTAAAGAGATGCCCACACACAAGCAATACTGGAAGTCTTCTATCAAGTCAGATTCTGCAGTCAGTTTTGACAGGTAAAGTATAATTTGTTGCTTGATAGTAACATCTGAAGATGGTTATTTTAATCTGTCTCACTGAATTTAGTTGTACTTTTCCATAGAAAACATGCTGTGTTGTGGTCGTAAAGTTATGTTTAAGTAGTGTACTTAAATGAGCACCTGTCTTGTAGATATTTAGCAGCCTTTTATGATTTCAGTAATTTGCTGGCTTTTTGTGTCCCCTGTGTGTGGCCCCAGAATCTTTGTATGAATTCTTTTGGTTCCAGTGCATAAAAAATAAGAGGACTCAGCTGGCAGTGGGAAGAGTGGTTTCTTTTCCTAGTTCCAGCCAAGTCTCTTTCTTCATGCTCAAAGAGGCACGTACTTTTGTAGGCTTGCCATCAAATATCAGTTAAATTGGTAAGAGCAAGGGATGTGACCCTGTCTTTATAGAACTTCTTACCATGGGGTATTTTGGCCCCCTTTTTGATTGGCATTAAAAACTGCTTTGCCCAGTCTGCTTCCAATTGCTCATGTTGATTTTAATTCTGAGTTTTAATTCTGCTTTTTTCTAAATTTATTACTCTGGATAGGAATGCTTTAATGTTGCTGTCTCTATTATATTACATATATGTTTTATATTAAATTGTTTTATGGATTTTCTGCTCTTTCTTTAACATATATTTGCATTTCGGTTATTTTGAAAGGTGTTTTATGGACTTGGTTTTCCTTTAACTGTAGGATATAAATAAAATAGTTTTAAAAACCCTTTCTCATCAATAAAATGGATTATAGTGTTTTGGAAATTAGTAACTAGAACTGTAAAACAAAAAAATCTACCCTTTCCCTTTTTCAGCTGAGCATACCTAGAAGTTAACACTTTTATTAAAGGACATTTTTATCTTTATACCTCTGATAAATTCACCCTAGTTGCTATTGGCATGTATGGATTTAGCAATTACATGTCTACAATGGCTTGATCCTTTTCCTGTGGTAATCTTGCAAAAATATGTCACTTCTGGCTTGTGTTAACAGTATTGATAAAGCTATGATACGTGGCAAAGCTGCTGAAAAAAAATCTAGAATCCTCTTTCTGTCCTTTTTGACTCTGATAAAGCATTCATTGTCTCCATGAATCAGTGGGAGCCATCTATTTATGTGTACTGTATATAGTACTACATATAGAAAAATGTTTTATCATTTGTGTGTTGAAAACTCATTTTTACCCTTTGATGAAAAACTATAAAACTCAGTGCTTGCACAGTGATTAAATTTTCACTTCAACCTATAAAACAGGTGTACAGGAAGTAGATAAGATCAACTCCCAGCTGACTTTATCATTGGCTGTGTTGGTGGGAGCTTCACAATGCTGAAGCTCAAAATCTGGAAATCTACATTCTGTTTGCCCTGTAATAAAAGATACTGGCTCAAATCCAAAGTTGGTTATAGTTGAAATTAATTGGATATACATTAGTTGTAGCTAATGGGATGCAAATACGTTGTTTAATCAGGGACCATTCTGTTATGTTGGAAGACAAAAAATATTGAAGTGAAGTACAGTTTCTGTTCAGCATTGCAATAGTTACATTGTCATTAGAGAATAGTCATATTTTATTGAATTGGACAAAGTAAAAATTAAATTGATTAAAGGCAAAAGACTTTTTTTGAGAAATGCAGTGGTGAAGATAATCAGCATAAACAGAAGTTCAAAGAAAGAGAATATTGTCATAAGTTCTGGATCATTATATGTTCAGCAACTGCCAAAAAATTGCCTTCCCTTGTTTATATTTAATATATTATACACTTTAAATGAATTGCAAGACTTGATATCATGGCTGAATGTAAAAATGGGCTTTTAAAATGATTAGCCTTGTCTCTAAATCTGGTGTTGCAGCATGAGGATAGTACACCAGTGCAGTGGTTTTCTTACTAGAGGCATAAACATGGTTGTGATAAATGGTCCTAAGCATATACATGCTCTGATCATCTGAAGGATATTTTTGGAGACTCCACTAGAACAGAGGCTAATTGTCAGATTCAGATTTATTCTGGATCCAGCCTTCCTTACCATGGCAGCCCACCAGCCCTCTGGAAATATTACACAAGGGAGTCAGGAGTGAACTTTGTGGGGAGAGCAACAGGATCTTTTGCGATCAGATCCTTTCTCCTTATGGAAGTTTCTTTCCCCTCATGAAAGGCAGATCCTAGATCTGATCTCTAGCTTTTACTGAAATAGTAAATCTGCATTTGGGCTGTGATGTTCAGATGAGAGGTAGAATTTGCATGGAGAACCCTCTCACATCCCTACTCATTGAAAACAGGTACGTCAAAGAGAAAGCTAGGCAAGAAGTCTTATAATGTATATAATAAGACTGTTGTATGTATGGAAGTAATAGTTTTTATGGAATAATATTCACTCATGTAATTTACCACCTACCCAAAAGGGTTTGTTTACTGTCTCAGTAAGTTCTATAACTTTAGAAAATGTGTGTTAGCTGTTGAAGCTGCACTCCCATTCCTTCATTTCCTTGACTTCATATTAATGAGATGAAAGCACACCTATTTTGTATTAGATCCAAAGATCTTGCAAAAATTACTTTTGCTTGTGGGCTTCCACTGATGTAGTTGGATCTTTTGATCCAAGCCATTTTAAACAAACCATTTGTTTTGTTTCAGTTGCTTTATTTTTAATAGTATGCTGGCAGTGTTACTCAAGCATGAATGTTTGCTACAGGAGGCTCATTTTATAGGTATTTTCCTTTAAATAATCACCTTTGTAGTTGCAAGAATAAGGCAACAGCACTCTTTCCCTTGAATATGTTGTTGTTCAAAAAGACAAAGATTTTTGAACAAAGCTTTTAGGAAAGACTTCTAGGGCACGCTCACTAGATTAGAAGTGGATTCTTTTTCTTAAGCCCCTTCATATTATTCATTTATTTAAAATATTTCTAGTTGCTTTTAGGACTGAAAGGCTACCCCTAGCAGATTGCATAATAAAAACCCATACAATATAAAACACAAAAGTGATTAGTTAACAAACAACAGCAATAAAAACATTCAATGCAAACAACAAGAACAGACCAGTAAGGCACACTGTGGGAAAGCCCAAAGAAAACAAAGTCTTCAGGGGTTTCGTAAGAACTTGCAATGATGGATCCTGATGAGGCAATCTACTTGAGAGGTGTGGCATCTTTGAGGGCAGTTAAGTGGAAGAACTGTAAAAGAGTTCTTCCACTTAACTTGTCCTCAAAGGCGGGTAAGTACAAAGGGCTTCTTATGTTGATCTGGCAGCTAGCAAATGAAGAGGGATTTTGTCCCAAATCATTGAAGGTTTTAGTGGTTGAAGCTGGTGCTTTTAAGTTAGGCTCAGAATTACACTGGTTACTAGTTTAGTTGGTGTGGTAAAGGTATTATTTGATCACTGCTAACACTAGACAGCTGCATTCTACAGCAGCTGAAGTTTCCAGACTGTCTTTAAGGTAGAGCACATTGAATATGTGCTTTTCTGTATTCATATACAATGCAGATAGAATTTCTCAGTGGATTGTACCATAAATTATATGTTTCTTTTGTAAAATGCATGTGACAGTGCTCTGCATATGGCATTGGGCTTCAGGGGGAGGTGGGAATTTCTTTTCATTTCTGGACTTATGGAGTTGTAATGTTCTGCGTTTTGGTGGGATTAATATCTTTCTAACACACACTGTTGTTTTTAATTCCTATGTTCTTCTGTTTCTCATTTTTCATTCTTCAGTGTACCCTCAGAGATGATATTGAAGATACTGTCCTACCTGGATGCTGAGTCTTTGCTGTGTACTGGCTGTGTAAATAAGCGTTTTTATGACCTGTCCAGTGACAAGTAAGGGACGGGCAACATTTTTATGGCAGCAGTAACTAAATCTTTACTTATATGAACTTTTAAATAAGTTATTGTAAGTTGTACTTCTTAAAACTGTTATTGTAGTTTATATGTCAGAACTGGTTGGATGGTGCTCTCAAGTTATATAGCATTTTGCATCCATTTTAGTAAGAGGGACAAAGATATGTATGAGGTGGTAAATGCCACATTTACTGATTTGCAAAGTATTATTGCTGAAAAATAGTATACAGATCATAAATGCTATACATCTATATACATATAAACTCCTGTAGTTTCTGTACTCCAATTACAAGTCAGGCATTCTCAGAAGCCTTGGAAATGTGGCTTGAAAGATGCTTAATAACAAGAGAACAACAGTAAATGGCACATATATGCAAACCTAACAATTGATACTGAAATAACAGTAGCTTTGTATGCATTTATTTCCTTATTTATTTCCTGCAAAGAGGGGTTGGAGGAGAGTTATATTTAAAGGGGGATTTGCATATCTGCCACCAGGATTTCAATCATAGCTGAACAGTTCTGGGCATGATTCAAAGTATAAGCTTCCCTGTGCAATAAGATCATTATATAGGGTTTTGCCCCAGGTACCAGTAGTATCTGATGTTAGCTTGTTTGGCAGAAGAAACTAGCCCATGGGTTGTATCACTTGTTCTGAAATTTATCCTTTCTAAAGGTTCTGTAGTCTTGCTAAGTATTGCTTAGTAGTATTGCTTGATTTTAGCTGAACATTTAAGATCTTATATTCTTGAGGAAAGGCATACTTTATTCTACAAGTAATGTCTTATTGGGTACTGCTTATTATGGGGTTGTAGTTATTTATGCTTTTTATTTTGTAACTGATGTTATTGTATTGATGTTAACAGAAGTGAAGTCTTTTTAAAGGGTTGTGGAAAAAACTGTGAGTAAATAAATCATGTGCTACATTTAATTTCATTGCTGGAGGATGAATGCATCAGCATTAACAGAAAATTGCATAAGGCTGTATGGTAGTGCTAATTAACAGAACTTGTAGCAGTCTAGCTTCATTAATACCAGTGAAAACATCGCCACTGGCTTCTTTAGAAGATGGTCTTCAACATTATTTCAGAACTGTATGCTTTTTAATGCTCTCCACCTAGAAAAAATTAAACTTTCTTTTAAAAAGTTAAGTATTTTAACTGAGCTGGCTGGAGCCAGGGGTCAGACTAGATGGCCCAGAAGACCCCTGACTCTCTCTGTTTCTGTGTTTCTATTGTTATATTTTACTATTGTTGTACTTTCCTTCTTCCCTGTAATGCTGTGTATATGTGTCTGAATTTTCCCACAGTACGATCTGGTTCAAAATATACTCTAAGTCTTTCTTCCCTAAAAGAAAGAAATGGAGGACTGTCCAGGAACCAGATAACTCTATTAGCCTTCTGGAGTTGCAAGATAGGGAGGCAGGATATTGGAAGAAAGAGTACCTTGTAAAAAAAATAGCTGCTGGCAAAAATGAGATAATTCAGCTTCTGAAGCCAATAAATACCTATACTGGTCTTCCAGTTAAAACCAAAGAAGTTATCAAGTAAGCAATGTTACATTTTATTATTTATTAAATTACTGTGAACTGCCTGAAGAGCTTTGATTACTGGGCTGTATAGAATCTAATAAACATTCCACCTTTCCACTAAAAGAGATCTCTCAAAGTGCCACACTCTAAAATAAATAATTCATAGAACATTTTATATGTTAATATATCTACAAATTTTATTTGAGAGCAAATAAGCCAAAATGTCAAATCATATAACTAAATGTAAGTTCATTAGCTTCTCCGTCTTAGGAAAAAAAGTGGAGATCTACAATTAGAAATTTCCACATGTCATATTTGTACTTAGAAAACTGACAGTTCTGAATTTTGCTTTCTTAATTATAGAATCTCTGGTTTGAGATGGATAATTGTACTAAGGGAGAGAAATGGAAAGGAACATGTAATGGACCAGGCAGGCATCTCTCTTAATGAGACATCTGTTACTATATTTTGGTATGGTATAAGCTGGCCTTTAGATAACTTGTCAAGTCTGCAATTATTTGGAGTGACACCAGTACTTCTGGGTAAGAGTAAAATTCATCTTAGGAATGGGTAAGTTAATTTAAACTTGATTTTTAAAATTTTGTTCTTGGTATCTTCCATAGATGTTACTTGCTTGAAGTTTGCAAATTAATAATTTGATGATACTTGCCTTAGAGGCCTAGAGTGTTAGACTGGGACTCAAGATAGTTGGGTTCTAGTGTTCTAGTACCCATTCAGACATGGAGCTCACTACATGAGTTTGAGCCTGTCATGTACTCCCAGTCTCACCAACTCAGAGGGTTGTTGTGAGAATACATTGAAGAACTTTGTAATCTGCCCTGAGTGCCTTGCAAGGGGAAGAAGGGGTGGATATAAATGCAACAATAATTATACTTTATAAAAGGATATTTTCTGCAGCACTGTTTATATCTCATTTACTCACTAGAGGTAATAAGTAGTGCTGTGGTATCCTAATAGTAACACAGTGGAGTACAGTGCCATGTCATGTCTTGGTCTGTACACTGTTTGTATTACAAGCTACCATACTTGTAAGGCAGAAGGTCAAGATGTCAGTTGTCTATAGGAGCAGATGGTATTGACATGGTATTGACATCTGCCATGGTATTGACAATTGATGCCAGATGCCAGCTTTTTGTTTCTCATAGACATGTTATCTATTTATTAGCATTCATTTTATTTGGCCACTATATTTAAAGTTTGCCTTTTTCCTGCAAGGAACCCAAGTTAGCTCACATAATCCTCCTCTCCATTTTATGTCAAGCGGGTTATGCTGAGAGTCAGTGACTGGCCTAAAGTCACCCAGTGAGTTTCATGGGCAAGTAGAGGCTAGAATTTGGATATCCTGAGTTCCAGTCCAACACTCCTAACCACTGTGCCGTGCTGGCTGTCTTTATATTCCACCTTATCTGCCAAAAAGCCATCAAGGTGGCATATTGCCTGTACTTTAAGAAAATGAGACCAGGCATTGATTCCCTGCTGCTCCTTATATCTTGAAAATGGAAGACAGTTATAAGGAAGTTGATAATCTCTTCAGCAATAGTTATGATGGTTGGTTACAGTCTATTTGGTGAAAAAGTGTTATGCAACTGCTTCTAGTGCTTAAATCTTGCTAGTCACTGATTTCAAAAATTGATATTACTTGCTTGCCATAGGACATCCAGAGTTGCTTGTGGTGGCTCTGACACATGTATTGTATGCTGTGGATCTAGTTGATTTTGGCTCAAGAATCACTTTTGTTTGAAAAGGTACAGCCTGAAAGCTGCCAGGGATGCTGTTAAGGCTATGGAATTGTTGCAGAGGCAAAGGAGCCAGAGAATATCTCTGCCTCCTCTTTAATTAAATTAAATAAGGTTGTTCCTTATGTCCAGGAAAACATGTAAAGAGTTCCCTGATTGCCATGCTCTCACCCAGCTGACTCACCCACAGAGGTGCATTTGTATTGTCTGAGAAACAGTCCTCGTTGAGAAAAATGGTTACATCAGAAATTGTCCTCCCTTCCCAGACATGTCAAGTATTACTGGAATATCTGATAACACATGTGTTAAATATTTTTTACTATATTGCTCTGTGTGATCAGCTCGCTGAAAAAAAATTAAGTGGAAGGGAACCTTCTTGAGTCTTTTGTTCACCTGCAGGAATGAAACTATTATTCCCTTCACTTTGTTCTAGCCTGACTCTGGCTTTGAACTATGGAGTTCTTTGTTCTTCTTACTTTGAACCAGTTAGCCTCTTTGGTGGTTGGGTGGTTGTTGTCCATTCTTTATACTGGGGCATCCCTCATGTTGGTATTTCTCCTCTTTGAGAATAACCAAGGGTCTGATTGATCTGTAACAGTGTTCCTTGTTACTCCTTCCTAGTACCATTCACCTCTACTTTCCTGCCAGGGGATGTGACCTATTCTATTCTATTCTGTCTATTTTGTATCCTGCACTTTACAATGTCTCAGGGCAGCGATAATATAAATACAGGACACTGCATCACATATAAAATATAAAATCAATGCTAAAAACAAACTAACATTTAAAATGCTGGGAAAATAAAGCGGCTTTGGCCTGATGCTGAAATGAAAAAAGTGCTGGTGCCAAGTAAACCACTCTGGGGAGCCCATTCCATAGCCAGGGCACCACTGCAGAGAAGGCTCTCCTCCAGGTAGCCACTCTTCTGATCTCCTCCAGAGAGGGTTCCCAAAGAAGGGCCTCCGCTCCAGATCTTAGAAGCTGGGCAGGTATATATGAAAGGAGGCGCTCCTTCAAATATCCAGGTCCTCAGCCATTTGGGGCTTTATAAGTCTTCACCAGCACCTTAAATTGGGCCTGGACTTCAACTGGAAGCCAGTGCAGATGGTACAGGACTGATGTTAGGTGTGTGTGTCCGCTGGTGCCTGCTAGCAACCTGGCTGTTCTGTTTTGAACCAATTGAAATATCTGGACCTATATGTGAGTTGTCTGGAATTGGTCCTATGGGGAGTGTAGAACATTGACAATCGAACTGAAATTGTTAAATGCACAGTTTCTTAATTTAATTGGAATCATTAAAGAAGAAGCCTCATTTCTCCTTTGGTAATATAAAGAGATTTTGTAGAAATATGTTTCTAACCAGATTAATATTGGCATTGGAATCCAAATAGAGTTTGGCCTCCACTTGGTCTCTCCCACTCAAGTGACTTTCTTTCTGATCTCTGAAAGAAATGTGCAGCTTGTAAGGAAGGCCAGGGTTAGGGTTAGAGTTTTGAAATCTGGGAAAATTGAGGTTTTGAAATCTGGACATTTCCTGAGAGTGCAGCAGGCCATTTTATTTCTCTGTAACAAATGTGCATCTTTGCATTGGGGAATAAGTTATTTAAAAAGTAAATGTGGTTGGCGTTTGAATGTGTGCTTGATTTCCCAATTTCAGGGGTAGCCGTTACCCCATTTTAGTAAAAGCATAGTGCATGTATCTGTTGTATGTACATCCCACCTCTGGTTAAAGGCTCCCTTGGACCCAGGCTGATTATTATATGCATATACATGCAAATTGTGTGTTTGTATCACAGCAGCAAGTCCTCTGGCATATACCTAACAGAAACAGAAAAGTTGAATTGTGATGTTAACAATATCCATTCTTTAAGTAACCTAATATCTCTTGAAAGGCCTTGGAGACGTTCTTTAATTTCCGAATATAACCTGGCTAATATGACTGAAAATGCAAAGATGATTGGTTGTGATGCACTTGTTGAGCTTTATCGTTTTGACCAAGGACTTCTGGTGGGACTTTGGAAGGTAATATTTTTAAATAAAAGACTGTTAGTTTTTATTTTGTTTCTTTTTATGTAAACATATATGCCAACTCCAACTTCCTTTTTTATCCATCACAAAAACACCCTCTTGGGGTTTTTTATATCATTGAAATTACTTTTTTAATTTCATACAGCAGATTAACAACTAGTCAGTGTAGCATCTTGCACCTTGTTTTAATGTCAAACAAGGTAGAAAGTGTTTTTCTCACTGGCCTCCCAATGAGAATAATGGGAAACAAGAAAGAGAGAGAGACACAGAGAGAGAGAGAGAGAGATGTTGGGATTAATGTAAGTTTGACTGGTAGATGAACAAAAAGACAGGGATTTATTCGATTGCATAGAGATGTGCATAAACTCTTACTAGTCTCTCAAATTAACTTCAGCTCTGGAAAGTGTTATGTATTGATTTAATACTTCTACTGCCTTCCGTTTCATTTTTAATCTTTCTCCTCCTTGGCAAAAGGGGTATAATTCTTGTATAAATATAAATTGATGAAAGCAGATAATCTGATCTTGAGGCAGTTGATATGCACTCCTCTGAAGATTAAATGTTCTGAGTTAACAAAGGGTTATTTACTTGGATAATTTTCTAATACATAGATGTTTATCTGACAATGTACTTATGTACCATTGTAATATCCTGTACTTGTGTGAAACTTTGGCTCTGTGGGATTGCTTGGAGAAGCACTTGAAGTTTAGGGCCAGTCTTAACTCTGTGTTTTGTTGAACAAAGCTTTTAATCTTATTTGTTGTTACTTTGTCATTAAGGAGTAGTGCTGAATGGTCTATTTTCACTCTGTTAGCAGGATTTTGTATATTCTGTACAATTTTAAGATAGTAAGTTTTGGACGGTGGGCTACCAGTTTATTCAAATAGTATTTAGTGTTTAATTCTAATTTTCCTTTATAATATCACTAGGTAGTTACACAAAATTGATACTCCTACTTCATAGACTTCTTTTATAGATCTGAGACACTAATGCTGGAAAAATCCCAAATCTTGTTTTGTTTCTTTTTTTGTGGGGGGGGATTCAATGTGTATATTACATAAATTGGAGTCTGTCTGTTTTTAACTTATAAAAATGGTATATCATAATGTTTGTGATACATTGCTGCAGTCCTGGAACACACAGCTTTTTTGTGTGGACCCAGATGAATTTTGCTGTTCAGTCCTCTGGGAAAATTAAATACTTTGTACTGAAAAATATGTTCTCTGTGATGAACTTTAGAGAAGTGACATAGCTTTCATCATGGCAAGTCTTCATTACCATCAGCTCATTGAAAGAAGCATCCTTGGCTCTGCCACAATGTAAGTACTGACTTTAGTGATTTGGGTTCTCAGTGCCGCTCCTATTTTGTTTTTCTCTTTTAATTCCAGTGTTTCATAGAAAGTAAGAATTGTGGTCCCTCTTCAGAAGGAATATAGACTTGTAATGGCACAGTACTTTTGATTATATTACTTACAGCATAGGCCTAATTCCTTCATGTTGATGGCTGAATGTAGCAGAAGGCAGAAAGCCTTGAAATCGGACTTTCCATAGATGAAGAGGAACTGATTTGAGATTCACTGGATCCAAAATGTCTTCGTTGTCCTAGACCCAATCTAGGTCTATCAGCTATATCAGCCCTGGAACAGGCGTAGTTCATTTTCCTTCCTATTTTTGTCAGTGGGAGATGGGGAATTCTTTTGATTTCAGCATTATGCTAGTAGACAAGTGGGCAACCTGTAGCCCTTAGCTACTCTCCATGTGGTCTGTGGAGCTCTGCTTACTTTGTCCTGCTGGGTAGTAGGGATCTACATTAGCATTTAGTAGTAGTAGGAATCTATATTAGTAATTTCTTCTAAGAAACAGTAATCTTACCTGTAATGGGATTGCTATAGTAAGCAAGGTTTAAACCTCTGCATCCTACTCCTCCTTTCTTGCCTGTAAGGCACATGGTGGATAGTGGGAGAAACTTTAACTTTCCCCTCAACAACAGTTCTTGCAGACAAGTATGAATGTGTGGTAGTTGTGGGTGTCTGTCTTACAGCCAAATAGTTCTGCATCGTACAGTGTGATGCTCACCTCCAAATGTTTGTCCATCCTTGTACCAGCAGAAAACCTATAGGAAATGGTGCTGTTTCACTAAAAACATTGTAAACTCTAGAGGAACAACTAGCAGAGGCAAATCATACCCAAATAAAGACATAATGAGTTGTGGAAATGACACTTGGATTGAAATCCAAGTATTGGACGTTACATGTTTCAGGATGAAAAGTGTTTCTATGAAGATTACTCTAGTGAAAGGACACAAAATGCAGGGTTTTTTCCTCCTTGAACTGCCCATAGACCCACCCGCCACTGCTACCCAAGCTGCCTGGGTTGTGAATGAGGCAATGTACAATTGTCTTACTTTTCCACAAGCCTTACTCAGAATTGCTCTGATAAATCATTACAGCAGTGTTATCAAACCATTGTCTGAAACCATTGAAATATAGCTGCCTGATTGAAGTGGTGTTTTTTAATACCTCCCTTTTCCTAGAAGCAGGCTCCCCAGCTCCTTTCTTTTCTTGTTGCCTGGCCTGAGATACTTACTACTTTAAAATGTACTGGAAAGAACAATCAAATAACTGTAATAATTATCAAAAGACAACAACCTGAAGGGAATATATGCATCTCTGTATCTAATGCGTTTTGATGGTGGTTTTCTCAAAAGATAAAGTTTACAAATGTAACTGTGATTTCACTATCTCATTCGAACATGATTGAACAGTGCCTGACAAAGCAGTTGAATCAGCTATTTAGAAAAAACAAACAAAAAAACCAGTTGAATGACAGTAAAGTTTTAGTTGGAATATCGGAGCATTGAAAGCAGCTTGGAAAAATCTCAATGAAAATTCTGTGTCTCTCACATTCCCTCAGCCGATGATAATAGCATTGTTTTCTCAGCATGCATTTGTACACCAGGATCTTTTTCCAATTCTAATTTCAGGAGCTATGTTGCTACGCCAGCTAAGGCTATCTTGGATGACATTGACCCAGAATATGGCATGCATGGCTATCAGCTGCACATTGACATGCACAGCAAAGGAAATACATACATGTGCAGCACATTTCGTAGTTTGTTCTGTAAAAAAGGTAGTACTTAGATTGCATATCTGCTTACAGTGATTTAGCCTAGGTCAGTTAATTTTTGATTTCCAGGTGATTAAGCATGAATCATAATTATTGTGAATATTAATGGTGCAGAAAGGTAGTAAATAAAAGATGTCATTTTCTTATGTATATGTTGCATTTCAATATAGAGCATCTTGAGTCTTCACCTGATGTATAGGAGCTCACTGTATCCTAAAGGAAGGGCAGGCAGGTAGAAATACTGACCAGGAGCAGTAATATTTACATTTTATTTCAGGATGCACTTTTTTTCATAAAGCTGGGTAAGGTCAAGCCTTTTTGTATGTTAAAAATGCAGAAGAATCAGTATTGATGTTTTAAAAAATACGTTGACTGAAAAGCGGCTTAGCTTTTGAAAGGTTTTAAGAAAGCCCCTTGTCAGTGGCTCCTAAATATTTAAGTTGGTATAAGAACAAAAGGAATACCTTCTTCACCATCAGCTAATTCACTGGTAAGGAAATAACACTGTATATAAATGTGAACCTTCATAGTGAAGTGGGGAGAATAGTGGAATTTGTTCTGGACCGCCTAGAAACATTATCTTAGTTTGTGCAGCTGTCAAAAAGACCAGTAGAGTGAAAATTGGCTACCCCTTTCCTAATGTCAACGATAGCAAATACCCCTTGATAGGAACCAGTTTAGCAGCCATAATGCTCTAAGAAATTTTTTGTTCCATGATACATGCAGGATACAGAACAATGAACATTTCCTGTATCCAGCAAGGCTCTTGTGTTCATAGATGCTATGCATCTTATGTAAAGACAAAAGAGAGGAATGTCCAAAAGATTGCCAAGGTTATTCTCTCTGATGTGATTTTATGTCTTATTGTTACAGATTACATTAGAAATGGATACCTGAAGCTTACAGTGATAAGTTACAAAAACAATGCCCAACATTTACCTCTTGTTGGAAATGTTGGGTTGTCTTGGATGGTAGAAGCATTTGAAAGTACTGTTAAGGTAAATAGCAATCTGTTGGGTTGAAAAAGTTGGTAACTGCTTATAAAAATATTTAAATTGTACTAACCATGTAAAATTCTTGTTCAGTGTGGTCATGCTATTTAAAACAAAAGGCTTTAAATTAAGGTATTTTTTACTTTAAAACTCCTGATATTTACTAGGAGTTAGCATTTTTATGTAAGCCATCAAAGTTCCATATGCCTTTTAATATGAGTAGAACTTTGTTTTATCTGACAAACTTAAGCTGCTTGTATGGTTTTCTTGTCTGTTTCCATTTAATCTTTTTGTGATTTTCTTGGAATGCATTTTCTTAAGGCTCAAATTTCTGTACATAAGAATTTCAAATGTGTGCCTTACGTACCTGCCCCC